CGCTTTACTTAACCTGGTAAATTCGGTCCTTTTACGGGCACATTATTTCTATAATTCACTTCCCAAAATGTTGTCCCTTGGAAGCTAGCTTAACTCTTTTAAATCGTAGATAGGAAGACCAAGATGATGTGGCCTTCTGTTTGATCGCCGTCTTCTTTCGCTTTATAGTGTTGGTTCGACCTTCTTTTCGCAATTTAGTCAAAGCGTCAGGGTGACCTTGTGTAACGTACCTAGTCCCGTGTCCTCTGCCATAGTATTAGTGATTTCCAGCATTGGATCATTGGCTGTGTGCATTCCCAAACGTTTCCTCGGCATCGTCAATGAGAGGCGCCATCGTGAGCACAGTTACAACTTATAAATTTGGATAAGTTGTAAATCTGTGCTTACGATGCCGGCGAAACGTTTGGTAATATACTTAACTCTTTTAAGTTATATAATGCACTTTACTAGTTCTAGACTATAAAATCAAATTATCACCATTTGTCACAATTAAATATAGTAGAAATTTACCAAGATTTTGTATAGTATGATATACTAACTTTTCGATCTAACTCTAGAATATAACTTTGCTTTTCAACGTTCGTTTATTAGCTTATATAATATTGCTACTCATGAGGATGCAAGCATAAATGTCTGAGAATGAGAGATCCCTTTTTGCCTACTGAGGCTTGTTTTCAATACCATTCTAAATCTTGGTTGATTGCTAGTATAAGAGATAATGAGTTTCGGCATTTGAATTGTTTACTTTATTTTGTTTATTTATTTTCAGATCCCTTATTATATTTAATTCTTTTTTTAAGCTCAACCAACGCTCCATTTCACTTGCGGAATGTGAAGACATTGATCCACCTGATTTCAATGCTGCCGAATGTCTGGACAAGATTGCTAAGGCAAGTTTCAGCACTTCAAAATAGGGACTTGATATTTAAATATACTTCTCGATTTTCTCTGTCTTCTATCTAAAAGCGTAGGTTCAATTTTATCAACAAGTAACTATTATTTTTTCTGCTATAGGCTAAGGTATACTGAGAAGAAAAGTTGGGTTTTGAGGAATCTCTTATTTCATAATTTTTGAGCTTCCATTTCAAGTGAGAGTGTTGGGGGAAGAGACCGACCTTCGAATCTCTTCACACAACACTTTTACTCGAAATGGAAGTAAGCTCAACAATAAGGTATACTGATTCATTAAAAAAAAACATTTGTTGTTTTAGGTATAGGTAAGGTTTATTGATTTCTGGTTAATTACTTCCTCGTTTTTACTAATAATGTATGTGCTTTTGCATAGAACAATAACTGCCTCCTTTCTAGTTATTTTATTTTGCGACATCCAATGCTTATTGACCTTTTATTGTCCTACTTTCTTATAGCAAATTATGGATTTTATAAGTCGGTAATCTAGAGAATTTATTCTTTTATCATATTTTAATTCTAAGCTATATGGCCTTGGTGACTCTTGTCTTCTCATTCATTAAATATCATTTTATTTACAAGTTAGGAGAAGTGAGCACATTGCTAGCTAATTTTTTATGACCCGCGAAATGCCTCACTAAGATCCTCTGTATTTCCTACTATAGCTTAGATATGGGCCGTATTCATAAGATGTTCAGGAATTTGTAATTGAATTTTCCCACAAAGGTATAAGTAGGCTTCACAATCTCAATGAACTTGACTTAGCCTTTACTCCAAGAAGGAATCGTCATTCAGGATAGGCTACAATTTTTACCTCGTCAGGATCTCAGCTCCTCCAATGAAATCAAACCCAGTCATAATTTCGCCAATTTTCGTTTTAAGTACGTTTTCGGGCTATCAACTGTGTTAACCATATTTCGTTTTCTCACAATGATATGAGTAAACATGACGTTTCCACTGGATTTCACATAACCTTGCTTCCCAAAAGCTATTCTCCTCCATGGTGGACTGCATTTTCGATCTCGCATAGGTCTTGTCAACACCCCCAACGGGATTCGAATCGTGGCAGTGTAACGTATAATCTCAACACGTTAAACACTACGCCACATTACCACGGGTGCCCTTGGGTCACAGAGTAGATGTAATTTTCAAAGAAGGCCAGACATTTTCCCATATCACATTCTGTGGTGAGGTTGTCGATCGACGAAGTTAAGTATTTTTTGTTTTGAGTAGGTTTTTGAGACTACCAGTAAATAAAATATATGAGCTGTGTTCAGTCCATTTCCTTTAAGGTCATATCTACTCATATAAACTACCAATACTTCATCACCTTAAACGGAATAGGGTGAACACAGTTCATGTATATGATTTACTGGTAGTCTTGTAAGCCTACTCAAAACGAAAAATAATTAATGTCGTCGATTACTATAACAAATATAAGCTTGCTTCAACAATCCCACCACAGAATGTGATATGGTAAAATGCTTGTCCTTCCTTGAAATCTAAATCTGCCCTTTACCCAAGGGAACTCGTGGCAATGTGGTGTAGTGCTTAGCGTGTCGAGATTATACGTTGTATTGTCACGGTTAGAGTCCCGCTGGGGGTGTTGATAAGACCTATGTGAAGTCGAAACTGCGGTCCCTCCTGGATGAGAAGAGCTTATATGAAGCGAAGTTATGTGGAATTCAATGAAAACATCATGCCTATTCATATTATGAGAAAATTCAACTACCTACCAGTCTTTCATCACCTCAAACAAAATAGGTTGGACATAGTTCATGTATAATTTCAGCTTGTTACCACTGCTTCACATTGCTACGAATGCTCGTGAGTTAGAGGATAGATCTGAAATTCGTGGCTACCCAGTCCTTCCCTATGCCACACTTGGTAGTAGTCCTTCCTCATTTTTGTGATCTAGAGTGTAAGCAGCTTTATCAAGATCTAATATTTTTGGAATATACTCATTCTCAATATTAATAATGTATTCTTTTGTAATAGCCACTGCAAGTCTGCCTAGATGATAATCCCAATACCACAATTGTTCTTATTTGATTCCATATAAAGCGATTTATTTTTAGGTCACAATAGCTTCTGGTTCAATTTGTTGGACGTTCGAGTGCCACTTTCTGTTTAAATATTGCCTAATGA